CTTTACTAGCTAGCTTCTTTTGGTTGCTTCTTTTCATTGATGTATCAATGCCATTATCTTTTTCCCATTCTGCAACTGCTTTACACCTAATTCGCCAGATTTCATCAAGAAAGCTACTTTCAATAATCACCATATAACTGTCTAGGACCAGGTTTATAGTCTTCCTTGATATCTCTAAATCTAACAGATCCACCACAACATCTTTAGGAATAAGCTCTCTGATATAATCTTTTCTCCGCTTGATTCGTTTTTCAACTGTACTACCGCCAATTGCTAACTCGAAATTTCTAATAAATATTGATCTCTTATATGTACGATCCAACTTCTTCCATGCAAGTAAACATGTGACCTTCTCTATAATACCCCAGTAATTATCATATTCTGTAAACACTACTAAGTGGTCAAAAGTCTCTTTCGCACACCTGCAACTTACACACGTATCATCTAAATAAACCTCTGGCTTTCTTCTCTTTAACGTCGATAAAACTGGTAAGTTGTCATTTATACACTTAATACGGAAGGCTATATTTCTGCTCACTATTTGTGTCTTGCACTTGATCCCTGTTGCCTTTTTATTCTGGCACCACATGACCTTTTTTTTATTTTATTTTGTTTATTTATTATTATATTATATTATTATTATTACTTATACAATATTTTTAGTTTAGATATTTTATGCCTGGTATGCATAAAATAGGTCTGGGTGAATGTCACAGACTAAATAGAAGATCGACGAATCAGCACAGCAAACTTATGACTTCAAGCAAATCAATCATTGACATTCCAGATTGACTAGTACATGAGACTTACCGGCTAAATAACAGAAAGATAACCTATGTGAAATCTGAAGAAGAATTCCAAGAAAAGCAAATAAAGATCTAAAGAGAAGAAAACAAGAATCAAGAATAATTAGAAATAGTTAAATTAGAAAATGTTGTAAAGACAAAGCCTTCATTATAATTATCATGTTGTACTTATCTTTGTAAGCCCCTTTAGTTATAGTGATTCTTCCTTGATCTTTCGTGATAAAAGATCTGATTTATCTGATTTATCCCAAAGCCTCTTGAGATTGTAAAGATAGTGAAAGTTATAAAAACCCTGTAATTTCTCTCTTGTAAATGTAGGTCCTACGGGATTCTAATATTATTCACCTATAACATTTAATAAAACACCTTGATAATACTGTTTTAAAACTAAATAATTGCTAAATCACCATCGTCACGTTGCCTCATATAATAAAACTCTGTATTTTCGTGTGTATCATATTAAAAGGATACAATTCACCCCGTAACATCATGAAACAATGGTTTTACACAAGCAGCAAGTAAAAATCTTTTGATAGCAGGCCTAGCTTCGTTTACAAAAAAGTGTAACTAATTTTGTGAATTATAGCGCACATAAAAATTGAATCAATGTTCATATAGCGCACACAATTTAAAGCTTGAATTTTATACTAAAAAAAGCTTTGTTATTGATTCTGAGTTGCACGTCTGACAGGTTATGTCGATCACCAAATCGAAAGAGCACTAAGCGCAGATTTTAATTTACTTTATATTCAATATTTAGGTATACTCATATAACTAAAATTTCGTGCTGAAACTTTTGTTTAGAAGTCAAACTACGGTTATCATAGTAAAATCTTGAGTTTTTCTGTTTTCTCAATGATAAAACAGAAAAATCGTAAATAACTCAAAATTTTACTATGATAACCGTAGTTTGTCTTCTAAACAAAAGTTTTCAGCACGAAATTTTAGTTTATGTGAGTACAGTATACCTAAATATTGAGTATAAAGTAAATTAAAATCTGCGCTTAATGCTCTTTCGATCAGACGTGCTTCTGAGTTTAATTATGACGTAAGCTACATTTTTTGTGGGCGAACCTAGGGATGTTATCTTTGATGGTCATAAGCTAGGTTTACAATGGATTGTGACTAGAGTTTGTTTCTGGAACTCTCGATTTTTATGTTGAATTGGCAAAATCACACCACTAAAAACGGCTTCGTGCTTTCAGATGATGAAGATGAATCAACAAAATTCTAATAAAATTATTAAAACGTCACCAATAGTCAAACCGGTTCTATGTCTAAATCCTGAAAATTAATTGTCGCGTGCGTGATGTCGGGGTTCCAGTATTCAAACCCAGCTTATGATTAGTAACAATGATTACTAATCATAAGCGGGTCTGAATACTGGAACGCACGCGACAATTAATTTCAGGATTTTGACATAGATCCTCTCAAACCATCCAGATTATATGTAAAGTTTTTAAAAAAAATTAAATTTCAAAAAGGTAATCACACACTGTAGTATAGTCGTGGATCTGCTATATATCTTAATGCAAAAAAAATTTAGGTTCAATATATAGCTCTTAATTATCGGCTTTTGGAATAAAAAGACCAGTAGATAAACTTATTAAGCTTTAATCCTAAATCAAAATCAAAATTTGATTTTCAATATATTTGAAACCTTTGATTTGATTTTGAGGAGCGACTGACCTTTGCAAGGACTGATTTAACCCTGTTCAAAAATTATAAGTTTATTATCATATCATATTTCACATTAAATTTTCTTTTTCTCTTGTAACAATTGACTTCTTCTAAAACTTATTCTTTTTCTTCTAATTCTTTCTTCTTCACACACTTCTCTATTTTAGTGATGAATTAGTGCTTTTACACGTGTAATCTAAGATGTATACAGACTTACAATAATATAAAGAATCTTTAATTTTATCAATCGCTTATATATATTGTGGATAAAATGGATTCCAAGTACAGAATCAACTTTTGATCTTACAAATAAAATCAACTAAAAATATTTTTCGACAAGTAATCGAAGTCAGTAATTATATTTGCAAATAACAAAATATCAACCTAGGAAGTATATTTTAAAACAAGTTCTAGTGATCTAAATACATTTCTTGAAAATAAACAGATATATAGATCACGAACAGTCAACCTTATCATACATAACGGAATATTTGATACTGTCAATGATGTAAATGAAATTACGCCACTAGGAATGGTTAAAGATTTAAAAAAATTATTAATGTGCAGGTACCTGCGGGAATGCAGTCAACTTTTACTGATGTGCACCTGGCACAAGGTGCAACTGTAAATATAGACGTATAGATTAGCTATTTGGAAGTGACATAATTTCAATTTGAAACAACGTATGTATTTCTTGCTATCAAAATTTATCCACTTTTTATCCACTTTAAAATTCCGTTTCGATATAAGCTGTTTTGAGATCCAAAATCATAGTGTACGCACTAATAAATCGATGATAAATCGTTGATAATCATCATGATAAATGATTCTTAATAACGAAAGGCAATAGATAATGATACTAAAGGAAATCCTTGAAGGTCTATCATAACTCGATCTTGTGGTGAAATGATGACACTTTTAATGAAGATGTAAAACGCTTATGTTACGATCTTAGAATGTTCTTTATTAGCATCATTTATCATTAAACATTGTTTCTCTACAGAATTTACTTTTACAATATGAAAAATTCACATACAGTATATGAGGTGTTTCTACGTCAAACCGCAAATTCGTAACTAATTAAATTTAGTTAAATTCACCTTACTTTTTCTGTTCTTTTTGCTTTTTAATATTGTATTTCACTTCTCCAATAGAAATGGTAAAAAGTGTCACGGTAAATTTTTTCTCTGTTCTTCGTTCTTGATATAGCCACAGTTTTGATATTTGGGATCTTTTCTAGGAAAATGACCTTCCGGAACTATAGGTTTTTTGAACAAATTTAAAATTTGCTAGCCATTCAAGCAAACCTTTATTATTATTATTATGTATTTTGTAGAACTTAGCTCTACAAAAAATTAAATTTATCATAAAATCTACGTAGTCCCGGATAGTCATTTTTCTTAGCAAAGATCCCCATTTTTTAGTCCAGCAATTATAAAATATATAAATTATATAGGTTTTGACCTTTATATAGTCGCAACTTTTTATAACCTTGTTTCCCAATCTGATGATTATATCAAGGTGACTGTATTTAAGTTAAGGGGGCTGGTTTATGCGGATCATGTTTAAAGGTGCCATGTATTTAATGGTATATATTTGTTTATGAAAACTTCAATGAAATACTGTAATAGAAAAAATTTTTCTTTCAAATCAGCATAAATTTGATTTTATACTTACGAATTTTGTTATGTAATGGTCTGGTATTACGTACATATTCTAGATTCTAGATTCAGAATCTAGTCCTGGAACTTGACCTTTATTATTATAAACTTCAATTTATTAATTTGTTTCGATCTCAAATTTAATGGCTTTTGAGAATTAGCGTTAGGTCTTTTAACATATAGATATGGACTATGCAATTTGTATAACGATGGATAAAGAATATATTAATCTTATTTGTTGACTAGCAATATTAACAATACCTGATATCGTTGTGCCCAATTATATAATACAGTACTTAGGCACTTAATCAAGATGCAAGATGTTTCCTTTTTTTTTTTTTTTTTTGTTACTAAATCATATAGGTGAGGATGTAATTCTTTATAAATTCAGCATTTTAATATTTTATACAGTATAATATTTGATTTAAAATATTTAATATAATAAATTTTAAGCTTAATTATTAGAAAACCGAATTTTACTATTTCAACATTGATTCATTTCAACAATTTTTTTTTAAATACGATATTAATAAAGGCATTGTAATGCATGGTAGACAGTGACTGAATACCGTTTTTTTAGAGAAGGTTCATCAAAAATTCTTTTTTCAATAACAATAACGATACAAAAGTTAAAATTTGAAACATATTTTTAATAATTTATTATTTTGCTTCACACCAAAAGTCAAGTGAATATGAAATTAATTTATAATTGTGTATACAATGTGTTACCTATTAAGAGCGATCAAACCGTGCAAAAAATACTCTGCTGAAATTTTGGTTCAAATTGGAGGTTTTATTTTTAAACGTTATATTACAAATAATAGCGATAATGTAATAAATTAAACTGAAAATTTTAGTTACTTAATAATTTAGTTCTAGGATCGGGAATAAGCCGGTCAATCCGACTCACTTTCGGTGGCCGGCAGAGATTTTCACGGAATCTCCACGGAATTTCCGTGGAAAATAAGCTACTTTGCAGATTGGTTGCAGCCTGCAGCCATAAATACGTTGAAGTAATATATTTGGGTTATCTAATGCAGTTTCTTTTAATAACCCGGTTTCACCCAGGTGACAAAATCTGCATCCGGCCACATTTTTATTTTATCGAGATTCCAGTAGTAGAATTTTAATGATGAAAGTTTTAGTAGTACAAGTTATTTAATTATTAATAATAAATAAATATTCGCTAACTATAACCTTAACGAGTAAATTCACTATGCCGAGAGAATTTTATATAATTATGTCACATTCACATAACTATATATATATCTGCTAATACATGTATCTAATTATATCTATTTATGTGATTGAGCATAAGTACTGTATTAATCTTTACGTTAAAAAACAATGCATAAAAAAGGTTTTATTTTTAAAATGGTACATGAAAGTTTATGTGGCTTGGATGGAGGGGATAAGTATAACTGATATTGCGTATCCAATTACCCGAGATACCTCCGATATATTTCTGGTTATATTTCTTTTATTATCTATTTTAAACCACTATTTACTGTATGTAATTAAAACTACAGTATTCCCTTTTTTTAAAAAAAAAAATTCTTACGTTGTTTAATTACAACATATAAAAACACGCTATATAGTTGATTCTCCAAATACAACTACCGTATTCCTCCGAAAATAAGCACCCCCCGAAAGTAAGCACCCCCTACAATTCATATATACCCGAAAATAAGCACCTCTTATATAATGGAAATAAGTAACTAAATATCAAATCATTTAAATTATTAGTTGAGATTATACCCGAAAATAAGCAACCTTATAGCAAAAAAGGGGTGCTTATTTTTCGGAGGAATACGGGTATTTAGCAAAATTTATATGTATATATAATCTGTATTGAGCAAAAATATATAACTTATGAGTTTGGAACTAACTAAAGTGAATAAAATTAATGGTTACGTTTAGAAAGGTTTAGTATTATAGTCAACTCAAGAATTTTATAAATTTAACCATCAAATTTTGTAACTTATCTCCTTTATTTGCCACTTTTAATTTTCTAGAAATTTCAAATATAAATAAAGTTTATATTTTGATTTATAAAATGCTTTATACAGTATAATATTGTAATACCTATACAATGATTTTGCGAACTTTTTTTTGTGAATAGGATACATACATACATTTTAATTGTTAATTCTCATTATATACTATGGTAAAAATATTTAGGCGATGCCCGAAGAGAAATCTTGGAAGTAAATTAAAAAGGGCATGCATCAACTATATTTAGATTGTGTAACATCTGATTTTAGATCATCTCAATGATATCGATTAATTTTCTTGGTTTATGATTCTAGAACTTTTTTAATAATCCGTTACATGCCGTAAATTTACTATAACAAGAATTGATTTGTTTTTATGATTTTGGAAAAACTTTAAAGAGGTTTGATTACAATATCTCAGCATTTTTTTTTTGTTCAGGTGGTGTTGCAATTGTATGTATTTGGTCCAATATATCATTATTGCTACTGATTAGTAGAGATAAGCCACCGCATTACGCAGGATTTAGTTCTAGGAGTTAACGCTAACGGGTTGAATCTGTATTTTTCAGTGTCTTCATGTGAATATTACTTTAAAGAAGGCTGCTCTCTGTATTGTAATTAGATAGACATACATATTTTTATTTAAAATATAAGAAAATTAACTTATTGACACCGAATTTCTAATTTATATTATTAACGTAATATTGGAAATAGAAGTAAGTTGACTTTTTTATTTCGTGTTAAAAAATATTTAAAAATCGAAACCTATTTGAATTGAATAAATAAAAAATATTGTAGAATACTGCATTTACTACCCCCTAGAATAGTACTCTATACCAAATTATAACCTCATTATTTCCCATTTAGGTTTGTGCAATTTGTCCAATAAACATAACCCTTGTCTAATAATTATTAGAAGTATTCCCCTTTGGATTTTATCATTTTTCCCCTGGGTACAAATCAAATTATATGGCTAGGTTTTTTTGATTTGTATCCCGGGTACCGAACGCAATGCTCTATCAGGAACCTGTGGATTTTGTGATATAATTTAACAAATTATGTTTTCGATATCAGCAAATTATTTGATTTACTGCTGATTGACAATAAAAGTCCGAATTTGTGTAAAATTTAAAAATCTATCTAATAAGTAACTTGCGATTTTTTTTTAAAAAAAGTTGCACTAAAAAAAAATTTGGTTTTTATGCGCAAATATATAGCCCATGATATTTTATTTCTTTGAACTATTGAAATATAAAATAGTTTATTATATTTGCTAATAATTATGCTTGAAAAGTGCATTTTCTATAATCGAAGCAAATCGCAGTAAACCACATAATTTTTGTGATTTACTTCGATCACAGCAAATCACAAAATCCACAGGTCCATGTGCTCTATGTTATCTATTTTTTATTAGAATTTGGGATTGGGTCAGTTTGGATTAAAGTTAGAGAAGTGTTTACGTATCTTTACTTTGAGTATGACAAGCGTTATGTTAAACGCCACTACTGTGTTTCAGTAAATTCGATTATAAAAAAACATCCTGCTTAATAAAAAATTAGTGACACCACATGCCAAATAATAGAGGGTGGACTAGCTCTCAGGACCCGGTCATTGACCGGGTTCGAGTTTCTAATGTTTTGCTAATTCTTAGGTCTCAACGAAAAACTTGATATTGAGATTCATTTTATATAAATCAAAGATCTTTATTAATCTTTATTACTGCAAGAACAAGTAAGATATTGTATATACAAATTTTTGCTATTACTGTATACTTTTAATTTGCCAACTTAATTGAAAAAATGATTATCAATTTAAAGCTCAATTAATTATTATTAATTTTGAAACTGTAATCTTTGCAAAATGAATTTTTTATTTAACTATATTTTAGTAGAGTTTGTTGCCGAGTATGATAAGCTTGCATTACCCATAAATAGCAATAATCGGCAGTACACTTAATGCAGATCTCTTGATCATAAGCAGAGAAACAAATACTAAATATATAGAAACAAATTCACAGGAATTTAAATGTTACAATTTGTCTAAATCGATAAATACTACGCAATTAAAAAATTTTTGAAACTGAAATGGATTTTTTAATACAGTAAGTAAGGATTATTTATGTCATGTTTATTAACATGTGAACGAAAGTAAGACAATTATAGAAAAAATTGGGGTTTATTATGAGTTTCCTTATAAGTTTAAAACGGTTTATATCTAAATCCTTTCAATGGTTTAATGGATAATGATAAATTTATCAATTCATTAGAATCCTTAAGTGGATATTGTTATGAATTTCATGATTTTTTTTTTTTTTAGGGCGCACATAAGTTATATATATGTAAGACTAAAAAATTGATCTAACCGCAAATAGTTTAATCTCTTGCTTTTAAAGAATTGTAATCTAATTTTTTGATTATAAAGAATAATGTAATTAGCATTAGTAATATTTTAAATGCAAAAATCCTTAATATTTGTTGTATTGTCGGTAATCAAAATGATATACAATAATATGGAATTTTGGGTCTCTTTTAACTCCCTAAAACTCTCTTAAACATACTCTTTTACTAACAAGCAAGTTAAACAAAAAATTTTACTACAACGCGTGTAATTTTCATATTAAAATTATCCAATATTTTATTTTAATCTGATTTCATTTTAGCCTATCACATTTTATATATCTATATGTGATTTTTAAGTAAACTTGTTATACCCAAACTTTAAAATTCATTGTAAATATATACTGTCCTATAAATGTAGCTTTCATTGTTATTGGCTGAGTTTGTAGATCATCTCGTGACATCACAAAATATTATTGGCTAATCGAAATCGTTTATAAGACAAATTTATTTATATATGACTAAATCGATATTAATAAAAGTGTTATTACAAAATCCCAATAACTCAAAGTCTAAGAACATTATTTCAGCACAAACAATATTCTATGAACAAAAATCTTATTAAAACATTAAAAAATAAAATAAAAATTAGAGCGCACAAAGTAAAAAATATTATAAAGGACGAAAAAAAAATAGAAAGCATGCACACTTATTCTAGGAGACTAATAAAAATGTTAAAATGTATGTAAAAACAATTTTAAACTCGGGCACCAACCGGTATCACGTAATCCCGATATGAACCTGATTTGAAACAGATATTTGGCGGAAATAGGAGACCATTAGGATACAAATCGGGT